TTCTGCAGTATCACGCAGCAGAATAATAGTCCTCCACTGCTGCAGTTGTACGGATTCTTAACACATTTATTGCAACTATATTGTTCACTTGGATTTTTCCCCCATCGAGGGAACTTAATACTCTGTCATTAGACGAGCTATTCATTAGTCTGTTTGATGAGAAAAATATGAAATTGATAAAATGGGTTATTAATCCGTACAACTGCAGCAGTGGAGGACTATTATTCTGCTGCGTGATACTGCAGAAGAACTGATGATGGCACAGTTTGAACTTCGGCTGACCAATCAGCAGAAAGGGGCGTTTAATTCCCGCCCACATGTAGAAATCAAATATTTAAACTGTTTATTAATTTTTCCACCCATGAACGAAAAACAAAAATTTAAGCTGAATTCTCGTTTTTAGTTTTTTGGAAAAAAACAAAAAAACTAAAAAAGGATCAGTTTTCTAATTTTTCTACTTTCCATATTAAATAAAAAAACTAATGATCGAATGATACACGGATTCTCTCGGTCTAGTTCAGTACACTCAACTGCCGAATTGACAGTTGTCCAGAAGATGATCATCGTCACCCTCCACAAGGAGTGTACAGGCCTCAGAAGGTCATCGCTGAAAGGGCTGGCTGTTCACAGAGTGCTGTATCGAAGCATATTCATGGAAAGCTAGGAAAAGGTGCACAAGCAACAGGGATGACCTTGGGAACTTGGAAGAGCTTCACAAGGAGTGATCTGAAGCTGGAGTCAGCGCATCAAGATCCATCACACACAGACATCTTCAGGAAAAGGGCTACAACTGTCACATTCCTAGTACCAAGCCACTCCTGAACCAGAGACAACGTCAGAAGCATCTTACCTGGGCTAAGGAGAAAAAGAACTGGACTGTTGCTCAGTGGTCCAAAGTCCTTTTTTCAGATGAAGGTTAAATTTGCATTTGATTTGTAAATCAAGGTCCTAGAGTCTTGTAGGAAGAGTGGAGAGGCACAGAATCCATGTCGCTTGAAGTCCAGTGTGAAGTTTCTGCAGTTGGTGATGATTTGGGGTGCCATGTCATCTGCTGGTGTTGGTCCACTGTGTTTTATTAAGTCCAAAGTCAACAAACCCTTTTCCAGCAGGTCAGCACCTGCCCACAGTGCCAAAACTACTATACTAACTGGATTGACTGACCATGATATTTCTGCTTGATTGGCCAGCCAACTTGCCTGACCTGAACTTCTTAGAGAATCTATGGGATATTATCAAGAGGAAGATGAGAAACAACCAACCCCACAATACAGACAAGCTGAAGGCTGCTTTTAAAGCAACCTGGGCTTCAATAACACCTCAGCAGTGCCAAGCAGGCTGATCACCTCATTGCCACCCCACAAAAAATCTCGACCAAGTATTGTGCATAAATGAACATACTTTTCAGAATTTGAACATTTCTGTACTGTAAATTCTTTTTTGATTGGCCTTAGGAAATATTCGAATATTTTAAGATATTGGATATTTGATTTTCATGAGTTGATTTTTAAGCCTTCTTGTAATGAATCTATAATATATTAAAAAGTTTCATTTTTTGATTTAAATTACGAAAAATTTATTTATGATGCACCTGTATGTAAACAAATGAATGCTCTTCTACTGATAAATACAGAGTTCTGGCATGAAACTCTAGATGGCGCAGTCCAATAGGTCTAACTTAATCTGACCTAATGACATCATTATCACATGGCACAGCTGATTGGTTCTCTCCTGTATCGGTAGCCAATGAGCTCGCTGCTCAACATTCAAATATATGATTAGTGCTTGCAGTAGCAGTTGCAGCTAGTGGTGGGCAGAGCGAGGCTTCATGAAACACTGAAACAGTCGAAGCAAATGTGCCGAGGCTTTGAAACAATTCGACACCTGTCCCTACGGTGACATCTAGTGGTCATTTTGAAGTATTGCTCTGAAACAGCATTGATAGCGAATCAGCCATCCCTAGTTGCAGCTTGCTACAGAAAACCTCCACCTTCCCCAGCTCCACCTGTATAGATCTGCTACGAGGTGATTCATGTATGCTATATGGGGGTTATTTCATGTATGTTATATTTGCAGCATCAATATTTCTTACATGCTCACAGCAGCATGTTGTGGATGTATTGGCAGT